GTGTGTGTGTGTGTGTGTGTGTGTGTGTGTGTGTGTGTGTGTGTGTGTGTGTGTGGGGAGTGTGTGTGTGTGGGGGAGTGAGGGTGAGCTGGGTGAGAGGGAGGGGGAGGAGGCAGAGGTGGACGGTAAGGTTGCTGCAGCATTTGTCTTGCTGGGCGCCACCAGTTCTGAACTCGTCCATCTCTGAACGAGCTCTCGACTGGAGGAGAGATCAGCTTCTGTCCCCCTGCAGGAGTATATGCGCTATACACCTCGGCTCACTGCAAGTATTGTCTCTTCGCGTGCCCCCACCAGCCCATCCAGACACGATGCCCAGGCGAGTTGTCTTGATCAGGGAAGTGTAGCAGCCAGAAGTGGACCAATCGGGGGGTCGCCGCTGTTCTGAAGCTCGGGATCAGCCTGAGCAGACCGAGGAGTCAACCAGGAATGCCTTCGTGGACCTTTCGATCTGAGGGCATACTGGAAGCTTGTGTGTACCATTTTGTAGCCTTCCTTGGGCCATATTGCGGGCCTTAGGGGTTATTTTGGGGCCCTCTTGGGCGCCTTCGGGGCCCTCCTGGACCCAACAGTAGCGTCGCCCCGTCGGCGCCCCAAACATCACCTCTTGACGTGGGACAATCTCGGGCGCCCTGGGGGCCGTCTGGGAGCTCTTCTGGGTGGCTTGTGGCCGTCTGGGAGCTCTTCTGGGCGGGAGGTACCCGGTGTAGGATGCAAGACGCACCACGGAAAGCACCCAGAGTGCAGCGCGTGTTCGCACGTGGACGAAGTCTTGCACACGCACGCCTTGAGACGCTTGGAGCTTACCTTGGGAAGGAGAGAGTCCGCGAGCAGGCTGGGCACCCAGCGCAGAATTCAGAGTTGTCATGCTGTCGTCGTTGTCTGTCGGCTGGCTGGCCGGTCGGTCGGTCGTCGTCGTCGTCGGTCCTCACAGCCGCGCAGATCAGCCCAAATAGCCCAAAGAAAAGCAATCCGCGAGGCAATCTGCAGACACCCGGTGGCAATCTGCGGCAATCCGCCCTAAAAACATGGTCCCCAGTCCCTACCTTTTGCCCTCGGCCTGGAGTATGGAAAACACAATCCGTCCGGCATGCAGAAAAATTGAACCTATAAACCAGGATTGTATATATATATATATATATATGTATACATAACGGCACACCAGGCTCGGGGGCCGAGGGCCGGAACCTCGACCGCAAATGTGGCTACTGGGGCGCGGGCCCGCCTCTGGGAGGCCTACAATCGCCCTGGGGAGCCCTTAGACAGCAATCCCGGCGGCCCCAGACGGTCTCGAGACACCCCCATGACGCCGTCCAGGGGTCTTTGACTACGCACGGTGCGTTCTAAACTGCCCCGGGGGCCCCCGAGACGCCCCAAGAGGCCTTCAAGATGCCGGCCGAGAGCGCCCCGAGAGGGCGACATCGTTGATTTCCATTGTTTTTTTCAATGTTTGTTTGCATTCTCGCTGTTTCGTGTTCCCAGCGCTAAAGCACCGCCCAAGAGGTGCCCAAAACCATTCCAAGACGGACCAAGAGGCTCCCAAGAGGGCACGGCCCAAGAGAGCCCCGAGACGGCCCCAGAGCCGCCCAAGACTGCGCAAGAGGGTCTCAAGAAGGCCTCAAGAGGGGCCCAAGAGAGGGAAAGCGAACTGAATAATCAAGCTCTCCGCCCCAAGATGCCCCCAAGAGGCCCCAAGAGGCCCCCAGGAGGCCCCAAGAGGCCCCCAAAGGCCCCCAAGAGGCCCCAAGAGGTCCCCAAGAAGTCCAAAAGAGGCTTCAAGAGGCCCCAAGACGGCACCCAAAAAGCTTCAACATTCTTTCTAAGAGGCCCCCGAATATATATATATATATATATATATATATCGAGAGGGAGAGAGATACAGATGTATATGAATACTCGTTTATACATAGTTTCACATATATATATATATATAGAGAGAGAGATGTATGTATATGTATATGAATATGTACATATATATATATATATATATCGAGAGAGAGAGGATTTATCCAGTACCAGCGTAATCAGGCATTTGCCGTGTTCTCTTCTTCCTCTCCTCCCTCTGTCTCTCGCTCCTCAATTTTTGGTTTCGGCCCGCGCTGCTGCTTCCCTTGTGGGTGTGTGTGGGGGGGGGCCCTCCCCCCCCTCATCCCAAACCTGATGATCGTGATCGGCGGCATTTTGGCGGTCACCTTGGAGGCGGTGGTGGCCGCTTGGGTTACCTCTGCCCGCCCCGCGAAATGGCCTGAGGGTGTCGGCCGCTCTACCCCGCCCAGTGGCGTGTGTGGGCGCGGGCGTCGACCCCAGGGACGACTATGCCCTTGGGGTGCCAGACCGGTACCCCGGGGGGAGGCGGGTATCCCACGCCAGTGTGCCCTGTGGAAGACGAGAGCGACAGGAACGACTGGGGAACCGGCCCCGGATCGGCGCCGCCCCGGGGGGGAAGAACCAGCGGGCGGAGGCGCCCAGGGCGGGCCTGCCTGCGCCCCCGCGGACGGTGGAAACCCTGCCCCCGCAGGAAAAGTCCGCGGGGCAGGGAGGCACAGCGGAGAGGCGAGGTGCCCTTCCCCCGGAGGCCCCGGCCCGGGGATCGGTTGTCCCAGAAATTCGGGAGGTTTCTGCGCGGGCCAGAGCCGTTGTGAGCCGCCTCCAGGTGGACGGCGGAGGTAGGCCTGGCGCGGCCACGCCGCCAACGAAGAGGAATCCCACGCCCACGCCCCGAACTGGGAGCCAAGGCGAGAGCAGGGGCTTCCCTGATTTAACGTGGGTGGTGTCGTTTTCACCGGTCGCGATTTTGGGCCCCAACAATTTTCGCCGGCGGTGTGTTACGAGTGATATTTCCCGCCGGCCCTCGAGACATATAAGCGCAATTTTCGCCGGCGCTGAGCGGCGCATCATGATCACACGGTTGATGGCCATTACTGCGTACATTAGTAACGCGTTCGTCCATTCTACATCAACCGCGCTCGCGCATTTGAGGATTATAGGAGGACTGACGACGGTGATCACCATCACCATCATCAGCGTCGTCATCGCCACTATCACAACCGACTTCATAATACTAGCAACCACCCTCGCGATCTGCATGCTTATCCTTCTCCCTGCGCCATCGTCACCAACGCAACATCCTCCTGTTCACCATCCCCACACCGTGGTCTTCGCTGGTATCACAGTCACCGTGGTTGGTTTTGACCTTGAAGCGCGGCATAAGTTTCGCCGGCTTTTGGGCATCGTAATTTTCGCTGGCCCTAGAATCTGGCCGTTGGATAATTTTCGCCGGCGCAGCACTCCCCACGACGTTTGCCCCCCCACGTTGAGTCAGGGAAGCAGAGAAGCCTCGACGGGAGCCAAGGAGTCCGGCCGCCAGGTGGGGCCACCAGGAGGCTCCGCCGCAGGGCCCGTCCCAAGGAAGGGAGACGGCGGCGTCGATCCTCGAGCCAGGGGAACCCAAGGGGGGGGGGCCCCTCCCTTCGACGCCGGCCTCCAGAGGCACCCCGTCGGGAGAGGACGGGTGGCGCAGGCTGATGCATTGGCTCGCTGGCCGCGCCCCCGAACCTCCGAGGCGCCGGGCCCCCGCCAGGGTCGAAGCCCGGGTGGTCCTGGCGCAGCAGACTCGACGACTTGAGAATGCAAGCCTGGGCAACCCTCGGCCGGAACGGGGCCCCGGGGGAGGGCGATCCGGAAGGAGGAGGCGCGGGGTGCGCCGGCGGCTTGGGGTGGGACGGGTTCTGGAGTTCGCGCCCGAGGAGGATGGTCCTCATGGGGGTGCGGGAAGGAAGGCTGCCCAGGTGGGTTTTCTGGGCGAGTCTCTGCCGCCATCTTGGGGCCCCAAGGTCACATCAAAAGTCAAGCGGCCAGACCGACCACATGAAACAGCCATGTGTGTTTGAGTGAATTTGACATGTCGGGGGTCTCCGTGGCTCCGTGCCCACACTTGGGGCCGTTTTGTGGCGGTTTGGGGGCCTCTCGGGGGCATGCTGGCAGCTGGCACGAACAATGTTGAGTCATATGGTATATTGTGCCATTTCGGACGCCATTCTGGGTTATCTGGCTCCTCTTCCTCCTCCCCCCCGCCGCGATACCGTCCAGACCGTTATGGCGGACACCCCAGACCCAAGGAAGGAAGTAGAAGGAGGCGTATTTTTCCGACGGGGAATACTGGGGGTTGCATATCGAAGTTGCGAAACCACCTTGCATTGGGGCCCGCCCCTGTCGAGAGCGGCAGGCGTTGTTTTGTAGGTGGAAGCCTCCATTGTGTCTGTATCCTAGAGTGCCAGGGCGAGCGTTTTGTTTGGCGGGCGGTCATTATGAGATCATTGTGCCCCAGATGGGCAGGACAGTCACAACGATAGCAACACTCGCGGGAGTGAGCAGCTGAGTGACGGCGGCGGCAATGCGGCAGGTAGCTGATGTTTGATGGCCATGTATTTTGCCCATCGTGGGTTGAGCTGCTCTGTGCCCGTTCGAAGCGACGCCGAGGAGTGCGCTATTTGGCGGTGGGGTAGCTCTGTCGAGCTTTCTTTCTCCAGCACATGTGCCGCTCCGGCCAACGAGTCTGTCGAGGGAACACACAAACGCATCTTCCAGACCAATGCTGCGCTCCTTCTGCAGCTTTGCTCCGTCCACCACGCATGGTGGCGATCCCCGCTCAACTTGGGCAGCAGATCGTTCATCGTGCGTGCATTGAGGTGGGCGCCAGCGCCGAATCTTATCAGGAGTTTGTTGATTCTCAATGATACTGTGGAGCGCGATCCAACTAGTTCAATGTACCCACTGAGCTGTTGGAGGTCCACGCCAATCGGCTGGCCAAGCTGGTTCTGCTGCCGAACGCGTCCCTCAACAGGCTGCCCAGCTGCAATATCACCCGCTTCTGCTCCAATGTGTAATTCTATTTGCGTGGTAGCGAGATTCTTCACGCAACCGATCGCGTTGTCGAAGCATTCGTTGGACGTACCATTACTTGAAATGCTCGGAACGCATTCATGTTGCCGTTGTTTTCGCCCCACTCGTTGTGCAGTGAGTCCCATGTGGCCCGCGCCCGTTCGTTCAAAAGCCGTTGTTGGCCAGCAGTGGCGTCATCGTACCTTCGGTTGAGCAGGCTGGGGCGGCGGCTGGAAAGTTCCATATCAAGAGCCTTCATGCTGTGATGATATCCGCCAGTGACCTCCTGGCAGTGTTTCATGATGTGGCGCCGCAGCGCAAGGTTGCGCTAAATGTTCCAGCGGTGTTTCGAGGAAAAGCGCCGCAGCCTCGGCGCGGGGCCGCGGGGCCGCCTGCGGGAGCCGCCACGAGCTTGCACCTGGGTGCGTCACAGATCGCAGCGGCAGGTTGCGGTGACCCGCCGCAGCATTTGACGAACCCCCTCGCGGAGAGCCACGCCAGCCAATCGTTGTTCGCTGGCTGCGAGCGCGGAACCTTTTCCTTCAATGCGCAACAATCCGGAGGCCCTCAAGGTGGAGCACGCGGCGAAGCGAGGGGCATGGGGAGTATTCTGGATCTCCCGCGTTCGCCAACCAAAACGCCATGGCCGTGCCCATTGCTCCGATCGCCACGGGTCGGTCTGAGCCCGATCGGCGTCACCTCCGCGAGTTTTCTCAGGTCATGCCGTCGCCATGCGAAGCCAAGCGGAGCGCGATTTCGAAGGGGCAGTTTTTGTCGTGACTGATCAGCGAGAGCGCTCGCGCGGCTGCGCCTAGGGATACAGTTCTTTGTGGCACAAATCCCTCCATTCTCTATTGCGGGTTCGCGGCACTTCTATTGCCGTTGCCTGATTACGACGCGGCGTGCCGATTAGAGTGCACCGCTAGCAGATGTAAGGGCCATCGCGTTTGACTGAACGGTACATGCATACATTTTCATCTATTGACTCGGTAGCTGGCCAGTTCCAGAACATCTGGGCGACTTGATGAGGGATCACATGCCGCTCATCAGCAATGTGCGGTATATTTGTTTGAAATGGGCATTGCGAGCGGGGTAGCCAGTGACGTTTCACCACAGAGGTGTGCACGGTACGGGGCCATCTGGGCATCTAGTTTGATGTTGTGACAACGTGTATGCCCATATCTCCCAGATGTGGCATGCAATGCTGTATTGTGCTGGCTCTGCATAGCCCACAGCGGTGGGTCCCCTGCTCCTTGCCAGGGCCCTGGCCCTGGCCTTCTTTCTGCCTCCTCTTTGGTTGCGGGCCTGGGGCTGCGGTTGCTGTCATGGCTGCGCAACTGCGCGGAGCCACCCAGCCGCTCGGGGCCCCGATCCTTGCCCCCCCCATGGCCCCAGACCCGTCGATGCTTCCAGCACGTGGGGCTCCCAGGCACGCCATGCCGAGGCAGGGCCCTGGGACGCTGCCTGTGCCGCCGGCTCGCCAGCCCCGGCAGCCGGGCGCGCGCTCGCTCGGCCCGCGAGCTTCGGAGGCGACGGCAGCCCCGGGGCGGGCACGGCACGCACTCGTCGGGGGCCCTCGCCGAAGACAGGCGCCCTCGGATGCGTGCGCTGCCCCCCCCCCCGGCAGAGGCGTGGGCCGCCCCCAGGGGTTCGCTTGCATTCCGTGCAGCGCGACCACCGCGGCCCCGCGCGCGCCCGCTCCCTAGTCGCGGCCGCAGCCCGACCGTGACCGCCTGCCGCTGGCGCTTCCGCCTGCGGCTGTAAAAAAAAAACAGCGCGACCAGGGCGCGCTCGTGCGGCGCGGGGGCGCCGTGTAGCACGGTGCGTCCGCGTCCGCGGCGCGGCTCTTGCGCGGGTCGCTGGGCACCTCTCGGGGGCGCCTCGGGGCGACGCTTGGCCTGGATGCTGTCCACCTCGGAGCGGGAAGGTGGTTGAGGATGTGGGAGGAGGAGGAGGAGGAGGAGGAGGAGGAGGAGGAGGAGGAGGAGGAGGACCAGTGTGAACCCAAGACGCATCCACGATGCGGCAGTAAACCCTTCCTCCAATTCCCTCTTCACGGGTCCCTACAAGTGGTCAGTGCTGGAGGTGACCCATTAGAAGGCCACCGTCTGAGAATTCTCAGTCGTGCCACATGACAACAGCTCTTGGGAATTCAACGCCCCATATTCACATGATTCTGGTGCCCTGGCAAACCTAATAGTGCGAGAGATCCGTTCCTTGGACTTCCAGCACCGCGAATCAACATGTCTGTTAGACCGTGCCAGAAAACAGCTCCTTAGACTTCAACCACTCGAATCTTGGAAGCCGCAGCAGATGTTCAAGTCGAATGGGCGCGGCGCCGCATGTTAATCAGGAGGGGGAAAAACACACAGACACAATGAATCGGCGATTCCCAGAAAATATGGGAAAATATTGGCAGTGGGGGGGAAGACAAGAACTCAGAACATGTAGGCAACTGTGGGGAATCTTTTTATTTGTGTGTATTTATTTGTGTGCTCCAATTCCCCTTCAGTTAATGAGGAGAGCTCGCTTCGCGGAGGCGAGAGAGTCGCATTCTGAAGACGGCCCTCCCCTCCACCCGTGAAGCTGCTGCGCAGTTTTTCCGATCGAGTGCTCGCCTCGCGGAGGCGATATCGCCACATTTTGAGAGCGGCCCGCCCTCCATCAGCGTTACTGCCATAAATCAGAGCGTGAATTGCCTCCCCCGCTTTCGCTTCCAGGCAAAACCAAGCCATACCACGCGCCTCCTCGTCAAGCGGCCTGACCAGTACAGGCCGCAATTTGGCATCGCTTGGTATCTCTTGGAAGCGAGGGTGGTCAAAAGCGAGGTAGGTTTGTTTGCCCCCTAATAAAGTTCAAGCTTCAGGGTTGTAAATGGTAAGGAATTCTTCTGGAGGACGCGCCTGGCCCGCCCTACCGACACGTCGGGGGGGGGGGCGGCAGGGAGAGTACATTTGTAGGGGACAGGGATGGAGAAGGACGATGAGGAGGAGGAGGAGGGCTGGCTGGTGGCCTCTGTGAGCTATGAGTGAGGGCGGCAGGGACAGCCTCGGGAGTGCAGCTGTGAGAGGGGAGTAGCCTCAGCATGAATTCGCTTGCCTCCAACACCCGCCCCCTCTCAGAGGCAGCGCACGTGAGGGAGGAGAAGGAGCAAGAGCAACGGCCAGGAGGCGTGGCAGCAGGAGAAGCAGCAAGAAGAGGGTGGGGAGGAGTGAACGGATATATACGTACGACGGGGATGATCAAGCGGAGGGGGAGGAAAGCGAAGAGGAGGAGGAGGAGGCTCAGCAGAAGCAGAATCCGTACAAGCCTGCCCCCTGTGGAGTAGTTTGGTTCCGGCTTGGCCTGCTTTTGCCGGCGACGGAGAAGTGACACCGTTGTTGTCAGGTGGCTGGCAAGAGAAGCCTCTTACTGTGTGGTTGGAAGCCGAACCCGCTTTTCGAGCGCGGTATCAGCTGCTCTGGTAGTTGCTGCACCACTCGGCATTTAGATGACCTCTGATAGCCCTTGAATGGCTTGGATAGCGTCAGACGGCTTCAGGTAGCCTCGGATATCCTCGGATCGTTTCGGAGTGCTGGAGCGTGGAACGGGTCCCTAGAACTCCTAAGTTCGCTTAGGGCCCCTTTGAAATTCCTCAAATCTTCTCCGCCACTCCTTCTCCTCATGTAGTGTGAGAGCGCCCAGACCCGCAGGACTGACGATGAGAAGCAGCTCCTGAAGAAAATTGAGAGGCAGCAGAAAGATGCGGATGTCACGGTGCCGCCGATGCCTGAGGAGGGAGGAAGATGAAGAGGAACAGAGTGAACCCAGGTTGTATCAACGGCGCTGCAGTGCACCCTCCCGCCCCAAGTCCCTTGGCATCTCCCTCGTTGCTCGAATCACCTCCCTTCAAAGATGAGCGCCCGATGGGCCCTCCATTCACATGGGATGCCTCCGTGCGACCAGATGGGGCTGCAAAGTTCAAGGGGGTGCCCAGCGACATCCTCTCTCTGGAAAGGGATCGCCCTCCATCCGTGCACCTGGTCGGGTACAACCTCGACGGAAGCCTCAAGCGCGAGCCCCATTCTGGAAGGATTCGCCCTACAGCACAGAGATCCTCCTCCTCCTCCTCCTCCTCCTTTTAAACGAGCCGCCGCGTGCATGGCGCCAAAGCGAGACGAGGGCCACATTTTGAGCACGGTGTGCGTTTCTTCTTTCAACGAAGCGAGTGTGCGCATCATCAGGGTAAGGGACCAATCAAAAATAGCCAGCCGCCATCCATATGTGCAGCTCTTAGAAAGTCTGAGATGTGTGCGCGCGGCGCCAAGGCGAATTCCTTGTCCTGAAAAAACAATTCGGCCTACAGCGGTGTAACTGGCTGCTGGATGTTTTAAGGTGAGTTTTCGCGGCGTCACGACAAGAGCCCCATTTTGCCAATCACCCGCCCTCCGTCTGTGTGGCTGCCAGGGAGTTTCAGGCTCAAGGTCGTAAGAAGTGAGACAGTCCCAGGCGAAACGCCAGGCCCGACCTAGCGACACGCCTGGTGGTGCCACAAAGGGACGGGGCGGAGCTATGTACCAGGAAAGGTGATGTAGGAAAGACGGGAGGAGTAGGACCAGGAGGCTCTACCAAGTCAGCGCTTGTTCAACGTAAAAAGGAGAAGGAGGAATTGGAGGGACGGCTGCGCACGCTCATAGTTTTGATGCTGTTAGCCGCCAGGAGGAGATGAGGAATATGAGGAGGCGGCGGCGGAGGTGCAGCAATTTTTTCCGCACTCTGGCCACTGATGGGTGACATTGTTCACAAGGCCGTGACTGCTTGATTACCCGAGCGGTCGACTGGGGAGTCTCCGTGGGCACCGACTGCTAGCTCCCCGCTACCGTACCTGTGAGGATAACAGCTCGGAGTTCATGGCTGCGGAGTGTGAGTGGATCATATGGTGCATATGATATTTGACGACACCTCGTTCAGACCCGTCGCTCTGAAACCCCGTGGGGAGCACCCTGTGCACCTACTAGTGTGGAATGGGACTGAGTACGCTCGCGCAGGTCAGCGGAGTTGATACAATTGATAAACAGCATTTGTTCCAACCCCAGCTCCACAATCTTGCCCCGTTGCGCGTCTCCAGGCGGTCCGTCGGCAGGCAATCCGCGCAGGCCGACAGAGCCGTGTGTAAGCATCCTTTTAGTAAGGATATTGTATCAAGGATTCAGCTAGGTAGGATTCCGCAGTAACCATACAATGAATACGGCGATCGGAGATGTTCAAAGCAGGGCTGTTCCAGGAAAGGTTTTATGGTAAGGAACCCGACCGCAAAAAAACCGAATAAGGGGGTGTGATTGGGACATCCTCTGCACAGATCGTTGTCACGCAGTCTTTCTGCCACTTAAATACGAATTCAGCAGTCCGGATGCATGTAGTTCGGGTCCTTTACTAAGGGTGGTTTAGGTGCGGGTGCTTACAGCAAAGATTGTGTATGATTGACTTTGTGTGATGACCTTTCAGTTCGGAATCAGCTGTATGAGTTGTTATTAGAATGGTCCGTTGACTTAAGTTTATCTGGCCATGACTCCTGTTGTGAGGATACTTCTGCGATTGCCACTTGATCAGGGGATCTTTTGCCCAAGGCCCCGCTATGGATCATTATTTGAGTCGAGGTTTCTAGCGTACCGTCAGTGAGGGGTCCATGTGTGCGGGCGTACGGGTTCCCAAGTACGGTTTTCGTAATGCCGATTCCTTCTCAAGGTGTTTCATACACTAGCTATTCGGGATTCCCTTGGGTGTGGATTTCGGAATATTGTTTTTGTTCTAGCACTGGTTCTTCAGTACGGACACCTACAGTGAGGACTCCATGGTGAGGATGCCTTCCCCAAGGTCCGATGGGCCACCACGCTGTGAGGCGGAATCCATACGGGTGGCAGCTTCTGTTGGGAATCCTTTCAGGACAACAAAGATAATCCAACGCGCTGGCTGCTGAAACTGTGGGAACACCCTCCAGGAAAGCAACCAACAAGAAGCGACCCTTGAACAGATAATGCGGGCCGCCCTTTGGACGTTCGGGCTGTCGCTGGGATGTGTTTGGGTTTGCAAGTGTTCCGAAAGTTTCTGCCACCAGCGCTTTGGATTGTTTGACTTGCTTCACATGTTTTCCCTAAGGCGTTCCCAGAAGTTTGCCAACCGTATGGATTTCGCCTTACAGCGGGGTCGCCCATCGGACGTTGGGGTTGTCGTTTGGATCTTTGCTTATGTGGTTTTCTTGGAGGCGTTCCCGAAGTTTCTGCAACCAGCGCTTTGCATTGCTTCTTGTTCCCTACCTCGGCTCTGCCTAGAAGGGTTCTTACTCTGTTGGCTTAAAGGGGCCAGGCAGTGCAAATCGCCCCGGGCGGTTCCCCCAGTCCCCTGGGACCCAAGCAAAAGCAACAGCAAAGGTGACAGCAAACGCGCGTTTCCCCCAGTTGCGCTCCCTGGGTGCCAAGCAAAAGCAAAAGCAAAGGCAAAAGCAAAGGCACAAGTGAAGGCAAAAGCGAAGGCAAAGCAAAAGCATAGCATAGCATAGCATAGCATAGCATAGCATATCATAGCATAGCATAGCGCAGTATAGTATAGCGCCACATAGCATAACATAACATATCATAGCCTAGCCTAGCCTAGCCTAGCCTAGCCTAGCCCTGCATAGCAATGCGCAGCATATCATAGCATAGCATAGCAGAGCATAGTACAGCATAACATAGCATAGCGCAGCACAGCATCCACTATTGCTACCGCTATTGCTACAATTACGACGATGAGGAGAAGGAGGAGGACGGCGTTTACCGCTCCTACTAATGTTGCTTTCCTAGAGGCTCCAACTCCTAGGTAGGGTCGCACTGGGATACTTTTGCTTTTGTTGAGGGGCTCCCAAAGTCCGAAGGAGCGCTGGAATCCACCAGGCCTGCTTTGCGCCTGAAGCCGAACTGGTGCGGAGGGAGCAGTTACAGGTTTGAGGATGGCCGCCTCGGATTACCAACGTGACGTGCTGGCCCCCGAGAGGATGCCTCCCGCTCGAGACCACCTCGCGATGCACCCGCGGACGAGGCTCCCGCTCGAGGCTGCCTCGAGATGAGTGCCTGCGTGTGCGCGTGTGCTGCACCGCCCGGCAGGGCGGTATACACCTCAGGCGACGCTTAAGAAAACGTAAGTTTTCGGCCAAAGTCTCGATTATTCTTAATTTTTCCATGTAATTCCCAAGATGTTGATAGAAGTTCTGGGTTTTTATTCAAATTCTGAGACTATGAATTTCTTAACCCATGATTTCTTAAGCATCTCGCAGGGTGTATACAGATGCTGCCGCGCCTCTCCTTCCCCCCCTCCTCGTCCTTCTCCTGTCGGTCGTGTCGCCCCCTCCCGCCCCCCCCCCCCGCCGTTCCCCCTCCGGCGGCTCGGCACCCTCCTGCCCCGTCAGCTGCCCACTCGGCACGCCTCCGGCCGCCCCGTGGCCCCCTTCCTTCCTTCCCCCCCCCCGCCTTTGATGTTGTGCCTCCTTTCTTCCTCCCTCGCCCCTCTCCTCGGCTGGCTCCTTTCCCTCCTCGTGTCTTGCCTTGCCCTTGTGGTTTGTGGGGTGCCTCTTTCCTTTCCTCCTGCTCCCCCCCGCTCTGTGGTTCGGCCCGTCGTCCCTCGCGCCCGTCCGTCTGTCTCCCTCGGCTTCTCGCTGTCGCTCCTCGCTCCTCGCTTCCCCCCCTGCTTTGCTTGGCCCCTCCTTGTCCTTGTCTTGCTGGCCCCTTGTCGTTCTAATTCTGGCTGGCTTCGGCCATTGGTTCATCGTTCGTGTTCCTTGCCGCTCTTTCTTGCTTCGCCAGATCGCGCGTGGCCGCAGACCCGCTACTCGGCAAGGGGCGTCCCCGGCCCGCGAACGCCCAAAAGTGTGCGCGTGTGTGAATGTGTTTTGGCGTGTGTGTGTGTGTGTGTACGTGAGTGGGCATGTGCGTGAGTGTGTGTGTTACTTGTGAACGTGTGAGCTGTTGATGCTGATGATAATGGTGGTGATTGTAGTGATGGTGGCTATGATAGTGGTGGCAATGCTGATGAAGAAGATGGTGATGCTGATGGTGATGATGATGTCGATTATGATGATGATGGCGATGATGATGATGATGATGCTGATGATGATGATGATGATGCTGATGCTGATGCTGATGCTGATGCTGATGCTGATGATGATGATGATGATGATGATGATGATGATGATGATGCTGATGCTGATGATGATGATGGTGATGATGATGATGATGCTGATGCTGATTCTGGTCTGATGATTATGTACTTTTCAGATGGAGAGGGTTCTCCTGCGCGGAGGTGTCCGTTGAAACGAACACACCGCTTGGAGTGTGGGACATCCCGCGTAATCCTGAGACGCCACCAATCATGTGAGCCCATCGGAGTGATTTGGTTTCGTATGGATCAGTGGGAATATATGGGACATCTCGGATACTTCCTGGACTGCAATAGTGCACAGAAGTCGATTGGACTCAATGGGGTCGTCAGGACATCATCTGAGTCTGCACGAATCCGTTTGAATTCGTAGGGGTTCATATGACTCCATGGGAATCCACACGACCCTATAGAAACTTGTGCGAGTATGGGGGGTCCCATGATCATACATAGCGGCCTATTGGTTTCCATATCAACCTCATGAGTCATACGGACTGCACGGAAATCAGAAGGGATCCAGCTGCATGGGCAGGAAGAATGCGGGAACATAGATATGTTCATATGATTCCGCAGGAACCTACTATTTCCCACCATAGTTTACCATTGCAAATCATATTCAGAATTCGCAGGAATCCATGTAAGACCATGGGGGCATGTACATAATCATAAGAGACCGCAGATTTGAATGAACGATTGGCACCCTCGGGAGCGCATGTGTCTATGCAGAGTCTTCTTGGGGATCCATCAGATGCCATGGGAACTCATGGGAACCAATCGGGCACCGTAGGAGTTAGTTCATAGCACACCCTGTGGATCTATAGACCGTCCAGACGTTTCCGGTCCAGCCCAGTCCTGCCGGTACCAGTCCAGTCTAGCCTAGCCCAGTCCATCTCAGGCCAGTCCATGATCCAGTATGTTTCAATCTAGGCAGCTCTACGGCTGTCTAGTTTGATCCAGTCTAGCGAGGCCCAGTCCTCTCAGGCCTAGTCCAGAAACGAAGAGTCCACACTCCAGAAGAGCCTGGCGCTCATGAACAACTTCAGGAAGGGCGAGAGGTTGGGCCCCAGCAGCAGTTTCAGCAAGGCCTCAGGGGAGGCTAGCCCTCAGGAGCGGCCAGTCTTCAGCAGAGGCCTCGGGAGGCATCAGGGCAGGCCGAAGGAAAGGTCTCGTGAGAGGCGTCAGGAACGGCGTGTTCTGATTGTAATACGCCAGTCCAGAATGGGAGAAGTGTTTGTTTGTTTGCAAATCATTATTTTGATTGGGCTGCGCCTGTTCTTTATTGGTTGATGCTCTTTCTGGCGCGCCTCTTCCTCTCTTATTTGAGACGCTTGAACGTATCTCAACGGAGGCGAGTATGTCAGCGGGCCTCCTTTGTCTGTCGTTCTGCTGCCGCCGGCAGGCCAAAGCACAGAAGATGCGACATCAGGAGTACGCGAAGCTGCAGATATTGAAGTCGAAGTCTAGTGCCGAGCTGCTGGAGAATGCGTTTACCCTAATCGACGAGGACTGGACAAACGACATCGATGTGTTGGAAGGAAATGTGTACAGTATTGGAGCCTTCGGCGCCTTGAACATACCGAAGGAAGAGTCTTCGTCTCGCAGCTGGAGCGGTATCAGATCAAGATCCCGCCTAGTCGGCTGCTGCGTCATCGCCATGGTTCAGATACTTGGCCCGCCGTGTGTCTTGTGCAGCGACCTCAGCGATATGTACGCCTCGCGACAGGTGTGGGACCCGACGGATCCCGCAGGCAGCCTGATCGACTGGAGGGTCAGGGGGCCGACGAAGCTTCTGGGCACCCTGCTCCTGTTTCTCTTCATCCTGAACGGGCTCTTCGTAGGCGAGATTGTCCCTCTCTCCAATATACCCAGTGGGGGGGCGGATGGACAGATGGAGGGAGTGCTAGCCAGGCAGCCACCTCCCTTGCCCCCTCTTGCCCGCAGCCATCTCTGTTCCCCCCTCTCACTCCATCTCTGTCTGATCCTATTCCCTCGTCTGTTTCTTGTCCTCGTCGCGTTTCTTCCCCCAAGCAACTTGGGCTCGAACCATTTTGGCGAGCCCGTCCCCTGTGCCTGCACGAGGTGTTTGGGGCATTTCTTTGCGAGAGCTCCAGTGAGCCGCTCCCGAAGACAACTGAAGCATGAGAGTTGATTCACATCATGGCGCATCTGTGGTCTCGTTGCAGCTGTGGCCGATTGGAATGGAGCACCACACTCCTGGCCAACAACCAACTAGTGCCTGAGCTAAGAGGCAAGCCAAACTTCATACATCTAAGTGCGAGCTTCCTGAACAGTCCCACATCAATGGTGGCAAGGGCAAGGACACGTCCAGTGAAAGCTCCTCCAAGGCGGCTTCACGGGACGAGCTCTCGCTTTTGCGGCTCGCGATCCAGAACACGGAGGATCAGCAGCTGAAGAATGCACTCCAGTCCAGGGTAGACCGGCTGTCCCCACCATCGTCAGCTGGGGCCGCGACGGACGCCTCCCATGCAGCCGCCGAGGCTGTTCGACGCGCTGTCAGTGCCTAGAAGGATGCGGACCACAAGCGCACCAAGGCGGTGGGCAACGTGGTCAGGCTCCAGCAGGCGCTCACCACAGCGCAGGAGAAGGCAGCAGCAGCGGGGCTAGTCTTGGCGCAGGCAGCCCGCGCCAAAACGCAGGCGACGCCGGCTGGGCTTGTGTTCGTATTCCTAGGCAAACTGGACATCCGCCCCGAGCCGTCGAAACTCTAAAAAACTCTGTTGAAACTCTGATTAAACTCCGGTACCAAACTCTGATAAAACTCCAATTCTGATTTGAAGCTCTGATTAAACTCTGATTAAACTCTGGCTTCGGATTCTGGCCTCAAACTCTGATGACATTCGGGCCCAGAGTTAAATCAGAGTTTCATCAGAGTTTGAGGCTGGAGTTGAATCCGAGTTTGACTTGCATTTGAGTTTTTGGCCCGAGGATAATTGGAGTTCCAGCTGTTTTTTGTTTTTCTTTTTCAGAGGGGCCCAGCCCAGCCGCTGCGCTCTGATTGCTTTGTGCCGATACCGCCAGTGGTTCTTGGGAGTTCTCTGGCCGCGTGGGCGTTTTGGGGGCGCTGGCAATCGCCGACGCCGACGCCGGCGCCGGCGCCGGCGCGGCGGAAGCGGCGACGCCGACGCCAGTTCCGGCGGCGGCCGTGGCGGCGGCGTCGACGGCGGTGACGACGACCTTGATGACGACGACGACCACGACCACGACGATCACGACGGCTGCGGCGGCGGCGGCGACGACGACGACGACGACGTCGGCGACGACGTCGGCGGCGACGACGACGACAACGATGGAGTCGACGACGACGACGACGACCACGACGACGACGACGACGACGACGACGACGACGACGACGACGACGACGACGACGACGACGACGACGACGACGGCGGCGGCGGCGGCGGCGGCGACGACGACGACGACGACGACGACGACGACTACGACGACGACGACGACGACGGCGGTGGCACCAGCGGCCATGACGACGACGACGACGGTAGCTGGCGCTTGCGCGTTGCCCGCCGGCGGGCGCCGCCGACGTCGGGCATCATTCCTCGCACGAGCGCGCATGCGCCGGCGTCGTCGTCGTCGTCGTCGTCGTCGTTGTCGCCCTCACCGCCGTCGTCGTCGCCGCCGCCGTTGTCGTCGTTGTCGCCGCCGCCGGCGCCGCCGCCGCCGTCGCCGTCGTCGTCTTTGTCGTCGTCGTCGTCGTCGTCTCCGATTCGACTCCGTTCTCGTTGTCGTGTCCTCTTCGCGCTTGCCTTTCTCCCGCCGTCTGTTCGCCTTCGGTCTCGCCTTCGTTTCGCCTTCGTGTCGCTTTCGTTTCCGTTTCGCGCTCGCCTTTGTCTTCGCCTTCGTTCTCGCTTTCGTTTCGCCTTCGGCTTCGCTTGTTTTCTCACCGTCGTGCCGCTTGTTTCCTCGCTTTCGTTTTCGTTTCGCTTGTTTTCTCGCCTTCGTTTCGCTGTCGTTTCGCTTGTTTTCTCGCTTTCGTTTCGCTTGTTTCCCCGCCTTCGTTTCGCTTGTTTCTCGCCTTCGTTTCGCTTGTTTTCTCGTCTTTGTTTAGCCTTCGTTTCGCTTGTTTTCTCGCTGTCGTTTCGCTTGTTTTCTCGCCTTCGTTTCGCTTGTTTTCTCGCCTTCATTTCGCGTGTTTTCTCGTCTTCGTTCCGCTTGTTTCCTCGCCGTCGTGGCGGTTGTTTCCTCGCCTTCGTTTCGCTTGTTTTCTCGCCTTCGTTTCGCTTGTTTTCTGGCCTTCGTTTCGCTTTCGTTTCGCTTTCATTCTCGCCCTCGTTCCATCCCTCGTTCTCGTTTCCCTGGAGCTCGGGGTCATGGCCCGGAGCGGCCCGGAGCGGCCGGGAGGCGCCCGGGGGGTCGTTCTGGGACGGTGCCGGATTCCCTTGGAGTTTTTTCGGAGTTTCCGGATTTCCCTGGAGTTTCCTGAAAGTTTTTTTCAGAGTTTCCGGATTTCCTGGGAGTTTCCCCAGAGTTTCGCCCGGGAGTTTTTTCAGAGTTTCGGGATTTCCCGGGAGTTTCCTCAGAGTTTCGCCCGGGAGTTTTTTCAGAGTTTCAGGATCTCCCGGGAGTTTTTTCAGAGTTTTGGCGGAGTTTTTTCAGAGTTTCAAGATTTCCCGGGAGTTTTTCCATAGTTTTGGGTGAGTTTTTCTAGAGTTTCAGGATTTCCCGGAAGTTTTTTCAGAGTTTTGGCGGGTTTTTTTCAGAGTTTCAGGATTTCCCGGGAGTTTTTTCAGAGTTTCGCCTGGGAGTTTTTTCAAAGTTTCAGGATTTCCGGGGTGTTTTTTCAGAGTTTGTCGGAGTTCCCCGGAGGTTCCCCGGAGGCGTCCGGAGATTCCTCGGAATTCCCCGGAGGTTCCCCGGAGGCGTCCGGAGATTCCCCGCGGAGTTCCCCGGAGGTTCCCCGGAGGCGTCCGGAGATTCCTCGGAGTTCCCCGGAGGTTCCCCGGAGGCTCTCCGGAGGCTCGTGGTAGTTCTCCGTGGGAGGTTCCCCGGAGGCGCTTCGCCGTTCCCCGGAAGCGCCCGGCTCGCAGGTTATGCGCTTGGAGGTCGGCCTCTTTCCCGCCCTCGCCCCAGCCGCTCAGCCCCCACTCCCGCCCGAACCCCCCCGCCTTCGTTCTCGCCTTCGTTTCGCATTCGTGTCGCCTTCGTTTCACATTCGTTTTCGCCTTCGTTCTCGCTTTCGTTCTCGCTTTCGTTTCGCCTTCGTTTTGCCTTCGTCTCGCCTTTGTTTCGCCTTCGTTCTCGCCTTCGTTTCGCTTTCGTTTCGCTTGTTTTCTCGTCTTCGTTCCGCTTGTTTTCTCGCTGTCGTGGCGGTTGTTTCCTCGCCTTCGTTTCGCTTGTTTTCTCGTCTTCGTTTCGCTTGTTTCTGGCCTTCGTTTCGCTTTTGTTTCGCCTTCGTTTCGCAGTCGCACTTTCGCAGGGCCTCGTTGCCGCGAGACAGAGCAGGCCGCCGACGAGTGCCACGTCGGTTCTTGAGGTCGACGTTTGTCCGGGCAAGAACATCGCGAGTGTGCTGGCGTTCTCTCGCACAGCCGTGCGTTGCGCAACGGGTTGCCTCCCGCAGATTTTTTGTTGTTGCGTGAGTTTGCGTAGCGGCGCAGCACCGCGCGGGGCGCCAGGTAGGTTTCGGGGCGCGCGTTGCCAGCAAACGACGAGGGCCGCGCGCGCGATCGCCCGCGGCGGCAACGCGCCGCCCGCCCCCCCGACCAGCGCGCGAGACAGGCTTGCAGCGCAGGGCGCCCCGCGCACGCAGCTGGTCGCGCATTCCGCGTTCGCCCCGCAACAGGCCCGCGCTTATTGTCCTTATCCCGATGTGCTGGGCATTGTCGTGCACTTGCCGTAGTAGCCCCCCAGCCTCTGTTTTCTGCGGGGGCCATTGGCGTCGCCCGACTTGGGGTGGTTTCGGCGCATATGCCCCCCCTGGCCCTTCTCAGCAGGCCGCCCGCTCGTCGCGCGCTTCTTGTGGCCGGGCGCCAGGGGCTGGCGCGGTCGCGTCGCCGCGCGTCCTCGTGCGGACTGAAGGCTGTCCGGCGCGGGCTCTAGGCGAGCCGCCAAGGACGGGCAGGATTTCGAGGAGAGCGCGCTGGAGGGGTGTCGCTCGCTGCGCAAATCGCTGCGCGCGCAGGGGGTTGGGCTGCGATGGGGGCGTCGGCCGTGCTGCACCATTGTTGGCCGCAGGCGAATTTCGAAAGTGCGAGCAATGCCCGGCATGATGCGCCGCCTGGCCCGTCCTTTACCGGGCATTGTTTATGCGTTCCCAGGCAGTTGGAACAGCGCGATTGGCCGACGCAGTGCAATCTGGCTGGGCGCGACGAGGTTAGACCGAAAGCAGGCATGAGGCACAGTTCCCATTCAGACCCGAAGCAGCATTCGCGCGCAGGGCCAGGCGTTGGCCATACCGCAGAGTTTCAACAGAGTTTAAACAGAGTTTAATCAGAGTTCCCGTACAGAGTTTAAACAGAGTTTACGCCAGACCTCAGAGTTTTTTTAGAGTTTCCATTCAGAGTTTAAACAGAGTTTAAACCGAGTTTAAACAGAGTGCGCGTCGTTCTCTAGAACTTCTACATTTGCCTCCGAAATACGAACACAAGGCTGGGCCAAGCATGGCCAAGCCCAAGTTCCAATGTCAAGCTGAAGGTCGATACCACCATCTTCGAGGACCTGGACGATCTGGAGTGCGAGGAGGCCGAGCGCACCGACATGTGCAAGCTGCAGTCGGACCTGACAGCGCTGCAAGCCCTCCCCCGCGCGAAGGAATCCGAGGTGAACAACGTGCTATCCAGAATCGCGGAGGCGCGCGCGGCGATGC